ATTTTTAGTAACATATAATATATACTTAGGCACAAGTTAAAATATAGTATTAGCATAAATTACAATTTGAATAGTTATTTTACAGAAAAATTATTTTTTAGAGATTAAGAGCATTTTTAACCTATTTCCTTTGATAGTAACATTTTTAGAGTTTTTGTAAGCTCTCGTATCTTTCAATTTATCTTTTATAATTTTAGTTTTAAATGAAAATTTAATTTTTTTAAAAAAAGTTAACTCTTATACATTAAACACAAACTTTTATCTTATACGATAGAGTTTTAAAGAGTTTTTTTAAACCTTTTTATTTAAATAAGTTTTTATTTATCATAATTATTGATAAATTAAATATTAATATTTTAAAATAAATTATCAATAAAGCTAAAACTTTGTAGCTCATGCTTCTAGCTTCAAATACTTCACGACCCTCTTCTTTTATATGAAATACCATTATTCTCTTTCTTTTGTTTTTGGAACAAGAAAAAACATTTTCCACTTGCTAACATAATATCCTTTTTAAAGAAAATTAGGCAATAGACCATCCTCCTTGAATCTAGCATTATTAACACCTTTAGGTGAAACACCCAATAACATAAGCCAACAACCTATCCTCAACTTTGAAATCCCCAATAGAAAATATTTTAGTCATTCTCAATGCATCCTAATATGTACCTTTTTTTGTGAATATAGAAAGGCTCAGGGCAATAGGCCTTTCTCCAATAAAGGCAAGCCCAACTACATCTTTCCAAAATTGATGGTTCACAACCATCTTCGCTCCTTTCACAATGGTAATGAAAAGTCTATTCTCAATCTTCACGCAAGTATGAAAGACCTTCACAAATTCACGGTAGCACTTCACATTTCACCTCTACTAGCACATTTAGCCCTTAGTTCTTAATAAGAGAGGGAAACTCAAACCACTCACTTGTAAATCATTCGAAGTTAAGGTGTCTTTGACTAATGAACTTTTTTCCGAAAAAGAAGTTAATATAAGCTTGAATGTCATAGAATATGGAGAACCATCTACCATGTATCCACAAATCCTTCATTTGTGGTTGCTTAGATGAATTATCTATAAAATAAGTAGCTCACCAAGAAGGGGAGTGAATTGGTGGATTATATTTTTTCACAAAACGTTTTCCCACAAATTAATTTTTGAAAAAGAAATATTTTTCAACCTTCAATATTTTTTTAATGAGTTAATCAATTAGTTTAAAACACTTGCAAGTATTAGAATGATTTAAAGAAACTTCATAATTAAGGACACAACATTAAAGTGTCATTACAAGTCAAAAAGGAAGAAGAAAGAAAGGAAGAAGAAAACATACAATTTTATATTGGTTTACTTTCATTTAAAAACTGACATCTAGTCTTTTGCAATCTACCATCGATTACAATACTTTATTGAACAAAAGTGTCATTACAAGTCAAAACCAATTGAACACTAGATCATGAAGCTCTCTTACATTCAATAGAGTTCCCTTATCAGTAATTTACAATTAGAAAAACCTTGTCTAATTCATACATTTGAGAACCCCTATCTTAAGATTACACCATTTTCAAATTAGAACAAAAATTACTCAAGATTCACAAATGAAATTATAAAACATGACTAATGGATTGAATAAACCTGAGTGAAGCATTTCTAATTGATCTTGATGATTTTTGGAATAAGAACTTGATTCTTGGAGAAAAATGCTTCAAAGATTTAATCTTCTAGACCCATTGTACTAAGAGAATATTTATTAAGTTTTGATCCTCTTTGAAAAATCTCACATGTGATACAAGTGTTATGAGGCTCACTTGTATTTATATACTAAATAAAAATTATAACTAATGTAATCAGTTAAATTGTTCATGTAATCGATTAAACTAATCTTAGAAAAATATGGGTTTTCCAAAACTTGATTTTACATCATAATTTTCCACTTTTGAGCTCTTATGTTTAGCCTTACGTAATTGATTACATCTTTTATTGTAATTGGCTAAATCAAAGAAACTTAATTTCTGACTTAAACCTACAATGATTTTAATTAATTACATTTATATGGCAAGCAGTTCCATCATAGAGACATTTTTGGTTAAGAAACATATTTACACTATGTAATGGAGTATCCCATGGAGTAGTGAATACATTAGAGAATTTTTTTCTCCTAAAACTCTATTTTAACTATGTAATTGATTAACCTATGATGTAATGGATTACTTAAAAGAGTTTTTCTTTCTTCGAGAAAACATATGTGTTATTGATTACAAACATCTTGTAATAAATTACTTGATCAGTTACACAATTGTTAAGTCTTTTAACTTATTTAGAAAACTTCTTGATCTCTTAGACTTGCTCTATATGACCTCTAAATACAAAACTTTAAAAGTCAAATCTATTACAATTTTGTCTTGATTTTTTACATTTATGAGAAGCTAAAACTTTGTAGCTCATGCTTCTAGCTTCAAATACTTCACGACCCTCTTCTTTTATATGAAATACCATTATTCTCTTTCTTTTGTTTTTGGAACAAGAAAAAACATTTTCCACTTGCTAACATTCTTTATCTTACCACCATATAAGAAGACGCAAAAGGGTAGTAAGAGTGTCACATATATTATATATAATAAATATGATTTTGCATTGTACAAGTTAAATACTAGTTATCAATAAGTAAAAATAACTTTGTATTACAAAATAAATTATTTATTATAAATATAAAATATAATTATATGTTTAAATATATTTATTAATTATGAAATCTCATTACTTTAGAAAAGTCAAATCCTTTTTAATGGGATTTAGCTCATATAAGAGAAGAGATATACTTTATAAGATAAAGTAAAGTCACAATTGTTATCTAGAAAATTAATGATCAAGAATTGTAAAAAAGTTAAATACATTTATAATAAAATTTAAAATTAATTATAATATCTACCAATGATTTTTTATTAATAGATATTATTATATTTTATTCTTTAATGTAAACTACCTTCACTTTAGAGAGGTCATGGAACACCTTATTTTCTGAAATAATAATATTATTATATATATATATTTTGATCATAATTTTTTTTTATTTTTATAGAGGAAAAGTATTTTATATTATTTATTTATTTATTTTGGGAATAGAGAAGTGAGTCGAGAAGAGAAGTACAATCAGTTGGATTGACCCAATCTAGTGGATTATTTTATGAAAGGAGTCAGAGAGAGTTAATCTAGGGACATAGATAGAATTTTTGGAAAAAAAAATTAAGGGTATAATGGTAATTTTATTAATGATTTAGGGACATAAAGGAAAAGTAGAAAATGTTCAAGGGTATTATTGGAATTTTAAATTAGGCAAGGGTATAACTAGAATTTTAGAAAATAAGTAGGGGTAAAATTAGAAATTTAAGAAAATGTAAGGCTAAATATGGAATATAATAAAATGTCTTGAAATAATAGAATGATAGGAAATGTTTAAGAGCATAAATAGAATATTAGAACATAAATATTAGAAAATAATCATATGTTTAATTCATAGTTTGGGATAACATTAGAAAATATATTAGAAGAGAATTATTAAAATAAAATTTATACTTCGTTTATTAATTAGTATAAAAATGAAAGTTATTTAATTTGCTAAATGTATGAAGAGTTGCTTGAAATGATTTGATTTTATTTATTATTGGAATGGTGAACTATTGTAAATTTATATGGCATAATGCATGGACATGGTGCATAATATGATTTTTGAGTCAAAAGAATTTTTAGGGGAAAAGAAAAGAATTTGCGAAAATGTTTGAAAATGTTTTCTTTAAATTTACTATCAAGGACAACTAATAATAAAAGAAATAACATTTTGATAAAATTCTTTTCTTTAAATTTACCATCAAGGGGCATTCAGTAATGTGTTGTGATATTGACAATGATTAAGGAGTAAGGACACTATGAAGACAATGATATGTTATATGGGATTGAGATTTAAACTACCAATGTCATTGATAGTAAGTGGGGTTCAGTAAAATGAGTAAAATGGGACCTTTAGTCTAGGGAGTGTTTGGGCATGGACAATCCCACGGATGGTCAGTTTTTATTTGATTCTATGCCGTGATAGTCTATCGAGTGCACTTATACTCTTACTACTATCTACTTGTTTGCATTTTAGTGGAACATTGTTGAATCACTAGATAGAGTGATGTTAAGCTCTACCTTCACTAAACACTCAAAAGGGAAAACCTCCATGAAGTACTAAGTGAAAAATGAATTTTAGAAATTATTTTGATCCAAAATTTGCATTTCATAAACATATTGAATATTTTAAACTGATAGTTTTGATAATTTAATAATCTTGTTGTGTGTTTATTAATAATTTGTTTAAAATTCTTTATGTGGTTGTATGATTTTTGTTTGACATGAAAAAAATTAAATGTCTAGCCTATAAATATTTGAAATCCAAATGCAACAAATTTCTTGAAGCAAGAAAATAAGAATCAAAGTTAGACTTCAAATGCAAAATCCAGAGATTAAGGGAGTTATTTTTATAAGTTATGATGAATTTATTAGAAATTTTTTGTAGTGTTTAGTAATTTTATATTAAAACTTTTGTAATAGTACTATTATATAATAGAACTTTATTTAGAATAATTATTTGTGTATTTTAGTATCTTATCTATTTATAATTTTAGAAAAGCTTATTTACCTTATTAATTAAATGAGATTAATATTTGTAATCTAGAAAGGGGGTTACAACTACACTCCATGACACTTCACACGATGACACTTAACATAACTTTTCATTGGTTAAAATCATTTACCGGTCAAAATCTTCATGGGTAGCTCTTTTTGAGAAGTTGGGCTACTTTTAGGATATTGATTGTCCCTACAAACAAACACAAGACTTTACAATGTGTTTTGTCTTCACTTACACATTTTATAAGAAATTAAAAGTTTTCCCATTCCTAAATTACTTCAAGTCAAGCTTGTTTAATTATAAAGTTATTAAGCAATGAGTCATTGAAAAATAAATGCATCTTATTATAGATAATAGAATCATGTACAAATCTTTAAATCCCTCTCATTCTCTCTATGTCTGGACTGTTATACTACTTGGGTGCTGGAGAGTAAGATGAAGACAAATAAAGCCACTATTTTTAGTTCCTAATTGGCTTTGTGGGGTTTGGTTTCAAGCCCAAATCCAAATGGGTAAAGGGGGTCATAGTGAGAATCTCCAACATTCATTGGCAACTGATCAACGGTTTTGAACCATGTCCTTGGAAGCTTGCCACTGAAACCATAGTCACCAAACAACACGTCAGTGACACCATGTCCCTCAGAACCTGGAAGCCATGCAGCAACAAGTGCTTCCATCACATCAACATATGGCTGTATAACCACAGGACGACCAGAGATGATCACAGTCACACATTTGACTCCTCCACACACATTGTTTATGGTGTCTGCCCCTTTTCCAGAGATTGTCAAATTCATGCTATCACCATTTGTTTCAGCATATGGTGTCTCTCCAACTGCCACAATGGCATAGGAAAAGTTGTTTGACTTTACATACTCTAAACTTGGGTTCTCCTTGTAGACCACCTCGGTGTCTTTGTCAACTGTGTTCTTGATAGCACTCAGAATCGTTGTACCTACAGATCATATAGGCCTTGTCAATATTGCATTTCAGCCTAGAGTCTGTTTTAATATAAATTTAGCATATGTTTTGATTTTACATTCATGATCCACGTTTAGACAAAAATCATATCAACATTTATAAAAGCAACTATTTATTGCTTTTACCAACTGACATCCATCCAAAATTGATGTGAATCAAAACATGCTCTTTGAAGAAATTTTTAAGAGTTTTCTATTTTTTTTATAAAAAAAAAAAAAACTCTTTAGTTTCAATAGAAAAACTTTCGTAAGCTCAAATAAGTTTGTACCTAAACTGAATCTAAGATATACAAAATGGTCAGAAGTTGAGAAGGAAGCTATAATCAATTAAATCAATTTTTAATTGATTATTCCAAGAATACATGTTTCACTTGTACACAAAAAAACATACATTTAATTAACTAAATCAAACTTTAATTGATTATTCTAGGAAGACACATTCCACTAGAAAAAAATAATTCTACATGTGCAACCTTATAAGTTATCATTTAATTGACAATAATATTAAATATTATATTCAATATATACAGTTAAATATTATAAATAGTGATTGGAATCAACAATGTATCATTTTCTAATTCTTTAATCATTATGAATATCCTTTTTAAAGAAAATTAGGCAATAGACCATCCTCCTTGAATCTAGCATTATTAACACCTTTAGGTGAAACACCCAATAACATAAGCCAACAACCTATCCTCAACTTTGAAATCCCCAATAGAAAATATTTTAGTCATTCTCAATGCATCCTAATATGTACCTTTTTTTGTGAATATAGAAAGGCTCAGGGCAATAGGCCTTTCTCCAATAAAGGCAAGCCCAACTACATCTTTCCAAAATTGATGGTTCACAACCATCTTCGCTCCTTTCACAATGGTAATGAAAAGTCTATTCTCAATCTTCACGCAAGTATGAAAGACCTTCACAAATTCACGGTAGCACTTCACATTTCACCTCTACTAGCACATTTAGCCCTTAGTTCTTAATAAGAGAGGGAAACTCAAACCACTCACTTGTAAATCATTCGAAGTTAAGGTGTCTTTGACTAATGAACTTTTTTCCGAAAAAGAAGTTAATATAAGCTTGAATGTCATAGAATATGGAGAACCATCTACCATGTATCCACAAATCCTTCATTTGTGGTTGCTTAGATGAATTATCTATAAAATAAGTAGCTCACCAAGAAGGGGAGTGAATTGGTGGATTATATTTTTTCACAAAACGTTTTCCCACAAATTAATTTTTGAAAAAGAAATATTTTTCAACCTTCAATATTTTTTTAATGAGTTAATCAATTAGTTTAAAACACTTGCAAGTATTAGAATGATTTAAAGAAACTTCATAATTAAGGACACAACATTAAAGTGTCATTACAAGTCAAAAAGGAAGAAGAAAGAAAGGAAGAAGAAAACATACAATTTTATATTGGTTTACTTTCATTTAAAAACTGACATCTAGTCTTTTGCAATCTACCATCGATTACAATACTTTATTGAACAAAAGTGTCATTACAAGTCAAAACCAATTGAACACTAGATCATGAAGCTCTCTTACATTCAATAGAGTTCCCTTATCAGTAATTTACAATTAGAAAAACCTTGTCTAATTCATACATTTGAGAACCCCTATCTTAAGATTACACCATTTTCAAATTAGAACAAAAATTACTCAAGATTCACAAATGAAATTATAAAACATGACTAATGGATTGAATAAACCTGAGTGAAGCATTTCTAATTGATCTTGATGATTTTTGGAATAAGAACTTGATTCTTGGAGAAAAATGCTTCAAAGATTTAATCTTCTAGACCCATTGTACTAAGAGAATATTTATTAAGTTTTGATCCTCTTTGAAAAATCTCACATGTGATACAAGTGTTATGAGGCTCACTTGTATTTATATACTAAATAAAAATTATAACTAATGTAATCAGTTAAATTGTTCATGTAATCGATTAAACTAATCTTAGAAAAATATGGGTTTTCCAAAACTTGATTTTACATCATAATTTTCCACTTTTGAGCTCTTATGTTTAGCCTTACGTAATTGATTACATCTTTTATTGTAATTGGCTAAATCAAAGAAACTTAATTTCTGACTTAAACCTACAATGATTTTAATTAATTACATTTATATGGCAAGCAGTTCCATCATAGAGACATTTTTGGTTAAGAAACATATTTACACTATGTAATGGAGTATCCCATGGAGTAGTGAATACATTAGAGAATTTTTTTCTCCTAAAACTCTATTTTAACTATGTAATTGATTAACCTATGATGTAATGGATTACTTAAAAGAGTTTTTCTTTCTTCGAGAAAACATATGTGTTATTGATTACAAACATCTTGTAATAAATTACTTGATCAGTTACACAATTGTTAAGTCTTTTAACTTATTTAGAAAACTTCTTGATCTCTTAGACTTGCTCTATATGACCTCTAAATACAAAACTTTAAAAGTCAAATCTATTACAATTTTGTCTTGATTTTTTACATTTATGAGAAGCTAAAACTTTGTAGCTCATGCTTCTAGCTTCAAATACTTCACGACCCTCTTCTTTTATATGAAATACCATTATTCTCTTTCTTTTGTTTTTGGAACAAGAAAAAACATTTTCCACTTGCTAACATTCTTTATCTTACCACCATATAAGAAGACGCAATGTAGGCTAAGGATAGAGAAAGATATAAGAGAAATAAGAGAATAGGTAACTTTTTCATTATAAGGTTTGAAAGTTGTGACACTTAGGGTTTGGAATGCAACTTATTTATAGGCTCCCAAAGGTTTCAAATAGATCATATTTTAATTTTAGAACATTTTGGATACAACTCACCACCTAATGCCTTGGAATTTAAAAAATTATCACATCATTGACAGAAATTGTGTTTTAATCAATAAATTTACAATGCAATTGATTAATTTGACTAATAAACCCCTTAAATCCTTTAGATTCTAACACATTTAAGATTAAATTGAGTTTTAATAAACTATTTGAAGGTTATTCACAAATTTATATAGTATAATTGATTACTATTCAAATGTAATTGATTAGTCCAATAAAATGAATATCAAGACACATTGTTTAATCAATTAATACTTAGTTGTAATTGATTAAACCAATGATACTAAAAGTCATTGGAACATATAAAGAACACAATTAATCAATTAAATCAATTTTTAATTGATTATTCCAAGAATACATGTTTCACTTGTACACAAAAAAACATACATTTAATTAACTAAATCAAACTTTAATTGATTATTCTAGGAAGACACATTCCACTAGAAAAAAATAATTCTACATGTGCAACCTTATAAATTATCATTTAATTGACAATAATATTATTAACTAAATCAAACTTTAATTGATTATTCTAGGAAGACACATTCCACTAGAAAAAAATAATTCTACATGTGCAACCTTATAAATTATCATTTAATTAACTAAATCAAACTTTAATTGATTATTCTAGGAAGACACATTCCACTAGAAAAAAATAATTCTACATGTGCAACCTTATAAATTATCATTTAATTGACAATAATATTAACACATTGTAATATGATTTATGTATATTCACGCCAAGATAAAAAAAAATAAATAACATTGCTTTCTTAATATTGTGTATAGTATTTTTTATCCCTTAAGAAATTATTAAATTCAATTTAATTTTCAAAAAAAAAATCTTATCTAATAATTTAACTTTTAAAGAAAACAATCTTATCCGATTATTTAATTTTTAAAGAAAACAATGTTATCCGAATATTTAATTTTTAAAGAAAACAATCTTATCTATTCATGTTAATATATAGGGAGTGATATTAGTTATATTTTAAAAAAAAATATAAAAGTAGAATTTCAAACCTTTAGTCAAGGATTAAGATTTTTTTCAACATGAATTAAAGTCAAATATACATAAATATAATTTTATCATTTTATAAAAATATGTTGAATACTTTTAAATAAATAAATAATATATATATAGATATATATATTTCTGTAAACAATAAAAAAATATTAGAAAAGGTTATATTATCGTAGATATATAATAATTTTAGCTTATTTTTATCAATCATTTTAGATATTTTGTCTATCTTTTTAAGTTTTTTAATTTAAGTTTTATATTTTATTTTAAATTACATTTTAATAATTTAAAATTAATAATATTTAAAATAACATTGTCAATTTTTATTCTTAAAAATCGTGAATAATTACAATAATATTGTCTTATAATAATATAAGTTATTTATTATAAATTTAAAATATAATTTATATGTTTAAAATATTTATTTATTTCAAATTTTAATTATAATATAATTCAGGATCGTAAAAGTATTTATTTATTATAAATTATAATTACATAAAATAAACATTTGTCATTTGCATTGCATATGCTAAAATCAACTTTTATATATTAAATAAAAATTTCTATACGAGAGTATTTTTAGTAGTTTTTTTTTCGAAGAGTGGATTTTGAAGAATTTTTTTAATTTTTTATCTAACTCAGTTTTTTTTATCTTTTATAATTTATTTATGGATTAGATTTTAATATCTTTAAAATAAATTATCAATAAATAAAAATTATACTACAATATAAATTATTTATATAAACCTAAAATATAATTTAT